GTTATGCAGAGAGATGTTTTCTGAAGGGAGCCAGGGCAATTTACTAAAACCCAGTTGACCATCATGACCATAAACTTTATATTTGATCAAGATTAGCCATTAAAAGCAGAAAAACAACGACAACAAAGTGGGTTCTCTGTGTTTGACTGAACAAGAAATTTCTTTTCACTTCTAAAAGAGGATGCACACACATACAGTGCGACTTATGTTTTCCATTTTATTGCAAAAGATGAATATTTGTTTTTCTCTTTGGTGATTGCTGTTTAGCAGATGCTTGGCAGCTGCTGCTGTCTTTCTATTCTTTGCCCAAAAATGAGATTAAAAGCAGTCAGACTCCATCCAATGGAGGTTGTTGGGTCTAAACTCAGACCCCGCTGTATCCAGGACTTATTCCCGTGAAAAAAAAAAAAACAAAGCAAAAGCGATCGATCGTTTCACTTGCAAGGGAGGCCTCGTTGATGTCTACCACGAAATGACCCCAAATCTGGCCTTCTCTCGCAACAGTTCACACAAAACACATCACAGCAAAGTAACGCCCATGTGGTTCTAAGACAAGGCACTGTATGTATATGTGTGAACTTCTGTAAGAGTGTGTGTGTCATGGGGGTGCGTTTGTGTGACCTCCTGCTGACCAAAAGGATCATAAAAGCAGGAAGCGTACAACACAAGAAACAGATCTTCCAGATAGGATGTATCTGCAATAAAACTACAGCCCCCCACCCACAACCTCGAGAATCTGGGGAGGGGGACGGTGGAATTCCTTTCATCAGAGTTGGCAAGCATAAAAATGACAACATTTAACAATTCACTCTAACAAAGGTATATTCAAGAAAAATATTTAAAGAAACCTCTAAGTTTTTTATTTTGTTTTTGTTTTATGTAAATATTCTGACTTTAAAGAAACTTTGAGTTCCACACATGGACAAAATACATATTCGATCATATTTCCTAAGTATTATCTGTTAAGATGAACATTTTTGAAACATTTCAATATTTTGCAAGTAAGCTTTTCTGTGTTTTGAGCTAGAGAACACCAAACTGTTGTAAAACAGCTAAATAAACATTTTGTAATAGAAAATTCACAAATTGACCAGTACGTTTAAAACATGACACTGTTTTACAAATGACTATTTGTAAAACAGTGTCATGTTTTAAACGTACTGGTCAGTGTGCAGCCCGTCACAGAAAGTTCCTCTGTGTGGTTCCTACAGACGGATATACAGGAAAATCTCAGGCAGTTTCTGAAGTTCTCACACCAACCTGTTAAATCACCCAGTGATTTAGAATTTTAATAATTAATTTGGAAACTGTCTGAAATTTCCCCCAAAATGTATTTTTATGACCGCTAACATAATTATGAAAAACTGTAAATACTTACGTTTTCTGTACCTTTAAAATCCCTGTTGTAGTGGCAATTCCTTTTTTTGGACAAACCAAACATCCCACAATTAAAAGTCCACAAGCCGCTGCTGCACTGAGATACTATTTTGTACGCAGGCAAAAGAAGTCCACTGTCCAAACTTGAAAGTTGTGTTTTTATGGTTTATTTTATCCAGTTTGGCAATAACAAGATCCATTTTTTGTTACTTCCTGCTGCTTCTCCTGCTCTGGTAAAAAACCATAGGCCCACCCCAGTGCATGCTGGTCCTCTACCAGTC